TGCTTGTCTGCTTCCTGGACAACCATCACCTCGGGAGCTTTGTCTATACTGGGAGTGGGAAGGTACTCTATGGTGATCCTGCGCGGCAGAGGGGAATCCAGCGCCGAGGCTAAGCAAGTCAGGGCGTCGGCATGCGCATTCTTATCTCGGGATACTTGCTTGACCTCAATCTTCCTGAACTTCTGGATTACAGTTGCACCTCGTGATGGTAAGCCTTCATCCTCTGGTTCCTTGTCTCGAACTTTCCGTTAATTTGGTTGACTACCAACATAGAATCGCAGTGGACGATCAGGTCTGTCACCCCTGCCACCTCGGCTAACCGAAGCCCTGAGATGAGAGCTTCATACTCGGCTTCATTATTGGATGCTTTGAACCCCAGCCGAATGGCCTGCTCGGTGACCACTCCATCTGGGGAAGCTAGCAAGATACCGATTCTGGACTTTTTACTGTTGGAGGAACCGTCCACACATAAAAGCCATGGCGGTTCTTTGTCATTCTTCGAGGACGTTAAGCCCGGAGAGGGTGGCCCTTTCGGGACGAGAGGTCCCCCGAAAAACTCTGCTATGAAATCTGCCAATACTTGCCCTTTTATAGCAGTTCGAGATTTGAAGTGGATGTCATGTTCTCCTAACTCTACTGCCCACTTGGAAATCCTTCCAGAGAGATCTGCCTTTCTCAAAATGGCCTTTAAGGGCTGATCGATAAGGACAGTAATTGAGTGTGCCTAAAAATAATGCCTCAGTTTTCTTGCAGTTGTGACCAGGGATAGAGCGAGTTTTTCCAAGGGTAGGTATCTTGTTTCCGCGTCCAGTAGCGCTTTGCTCACGTAATAAATTAGCTTCTGGTGGTGCTCGTGGTCACGAATGAGTACCCTGCTGACGGCAAATTCTGATACGGATAAGTACAGGCAGAGCATTTTCCCCTGGACAGGGACGGATAGGGTCGGGAGAACCCTAAGGTATTCCTTGATTCCTGCCTGGGCGTCTTCACACTTCTGGCTCCACGTATCTTTTCCAGCCCCCTTGATGGCCCCAAAGAAGGGTTTGCATTTGTCCGAGGAGCGCGAGATAAAACGGTTAAGTGCTGCTAACATCCTTGTGAGCTTCTGGACTTCTCGGACCGTTCGAGGGCTCCGGACGTCCAGGATCGCTTGAATTTGATCCGGTTTAGCTTTGACTCCTCGCCGACTCACCAGATAGTCGAGAAATTTACCTGACTCCACTCCGAAAACACACTTTGCGGCGCTTAGCTTCAGTCCATACTCCCTGAGGGTGGAGAAGGTATCGGCCAAATCCACCAGGTGGTCACAACTTCTTCTACTTTTAACCAACATATCATCGATGTAGACTTCCATGGTGTTGCTGATCTATCTTTTGAACATCCGATTCATCAGCCTTTGGTACGTAGCTCCGACGTTCTTTAGCCCAAATGACTTGACTTTGTAGCATTAAACCCCCATTGGAGTGATAAACGCTGTCTTTTCTTGATCCGGTGGATAGAGAGGGATTTGATGATATTTTGCTCTGGCATCCAAGAAGTTCATACGCTGGTACCCGGCAGTGGCAGCCACCAACTGGTCCACCTTTGGGAGGGGGTAGTCGTCCTTGGGACACGCTTTGTTCAGATCAGTGAAGTCTACGCAGACACGCCATTTCTCCCCTTTTTTTCCGCACAAACTGTTAGATAACCACTCCGAGAAGTGCACCTCCCGGATGGTATCGGCCTCTAGGAGTTTATCGACTTCCTCGTTTACCGCCCGGGCGTGGTGCGGTGCCATGCGCCGCGGCTTCTGCTTTATTAGTTTGTGTGTCGGGTCAACATGTAGCTTATGCGTGATTATTTCGGGGTCCACCCCCTTCATTTCTATTGCGTTCCAAGCGAACATGTCTGTATTTTACTTCAAAAAGTCGATCATCTCTTCCTATTCGGCTATAGGCATTGCGGTTCCAATCAGGAAGTATCTCTCCTCTTCACCATCCACTAAGAACACCTTTCGGAGGTCTTCTACCGATTGGTCTGTCGGATCAATCCGGGGGTCATCCACTCTTGGACGCCCGGACTATGATTGCTATTTTTCCAAGATCTCTTCCGGGGCGCGTCCCTTTCCTTGGGTAGAAACCCCTGTTCTCACAGCCGAGTAAAAACAGTTTTTCCCGGACGCTTGGTCCCTCTCGGATCTCCATTATCCCTTCTAGTGTAGCAAATTTTAATTTCTGGTGATAAGTGGAGTACACCGCTCCCAGCGCATGCAACCAAGTTCGTCCCATGATCACATTGTAGGGAGAGTCTGTATCGATCACAACAAACTCGGTGTTGATGGTGAAGGGACCCGTGTTGACTGACAATGTGATTTTGCCGTTGGGCAAGACAAATGAACCGTTAAATCCGACGAGGGGCGTCCTGACCTTGGTGAGGTCTTTGAGGCTAAAGCCCATCCGCTTTAAGGTTTCGGAGTACATCACCTCCGAGGAACTCCCGGAATCTACCAACACCCTCTTGACATCGAACTTGCCTATTTTCAGAGTTATGATTAGGGCGTCGTTATGGGGAGTCACCACGCCCGCCAAGTCCGCGTCGGAGAACGTAATACCCAGCTCGCCGATCCTGGCCCTCTTGCTGGGCAGGCCCCCATCACTCTCGGCAACCTTTTTCGTAAAGGCTATCCTCTTGAAATCGGACTCAAGCTCTTTGGATGTCGGGCGATCCATTGGACATACATGGATCACGTCTATGACATTGTCTTGCTCCATGGTTGGGGCAGGACCGTGTCTCTCTTTTGACTTAGGTTCGATGTATTCTTTCAAGTAACCGTCCTGGACCAGCCCTTCCAAGAAAGACTTGTATACCCTACAATTTTCGGTGCGATGGTCGAAATTCCGGTGATAGGAACATTTGACCTTTTGATCATGGGTGGAAGGATCACTCTGCATCCTAGGCGGCCACTTGAAGAATGGCTCATGCTTAATTTTATGGAGTAACTTGTAGATGGGTTCTTTGAAGACAGTGTGAACACCTTTAAATGACCCCCTTTCAGGGAGGTATCTCCCGTTTCCTTCTCTTTTCTCCTAGGTGGGAGAGTTCTGCCTTTGCTGCCCTCCATCTCATCTTCAATCCTGAAGTATTTGTTTATCTGGGCCATCAATTCGCCTATATCTGAGGGAGTCTTCTTTGTCAGGGATCGGTACAGGTCCGTGTCCCTCGTCAGGCCGAGCCTAAAGGATGCGGTTGCCATGACTTTCGAACACCCTTCTATCTCATTGACCTCCTCCCAGTACCTGATGGCGTACTGACGAAGGGTTTCTGTTCCCTTCGCCTGAGCGTCAGTAGTGATCCAATATCTTTGGGCCATTTATTCCCCGTAATGAATCGGGCTAAAAACTATCTCGTCAACTCTTTCCATGACCCAATGCCGTTGGGAGGAAGAGTCTCGAACCACTTCATAGCGGAATCTCCTAAACTCATGGAGAACACTCGGCAGAGGAGCCATTGGTCCGAATGATATGGGGACATCATTTGCTTGTATTGCCTAAAGTGAGCTTCGGGATCGGAAGTTTTAAACCTTGGCACGATGAACTTCTTTGGTCCTCCATCTCTCGGATATCTCGGGTAAAAGGTGATTGCATGACCTCGTCTTCGGCATCATCCTAGACGGCCTTACCCCTTCTCCTGGATTCCAGCCGGGCTCTGAGATCAGTCTCCACCTCAGAGGGATGTCTTCTGAAGTTCCCAAGGTCATTGACGGGGCTCCCCTTCTCCAGGTGTCGTGCAGAAAGGGTTGAATCCTCCTCAGACTCATCTCTCTTCCCTCGCCTTGACAGTCCTCGCTGGAGGTCGTCCTAGGCCAAAGGCCTTGCCTTCTTGGAATGATTGTCGAGGGGGTGATCATTGGCTCTCGGGCGCTTCGGGACCCTGGAGCTCTCAACTTTGTTGTTTAAGTGATTCCTCAGGTCGTCGATTTTCGCTTCCCAGATGGAGCGTATGCGGGAACGAAATGAGTCCCTCGATCCTTCGTCGGAGGAGACAAATTCGTTGAGTCGGCTTAGGACATTCATATTATCTTTTTCTAACTGTCGTAGTCTATCTTCAAATTTTTCTTCAATCACCTTCGCCGGTTGACGAGACAAGGGGGCGGATCCTCCTGATCTAATGCCCATACTGGTTTGAGGAGTATGCCCCCTTGAATGAATAGAAACGTTCTTGTTGTGATCAGCGTGATCCCTCCCCCCAACATGACAAGGAGCTTGTAACTCGAGACTTCTTTATTGGGGACCTTTCCCTTTCTGTCGAGTATTCACCATGGTCACTGTTTTTTCTAGAGAAGAAACTAGGCAAACTAGTCGTTTTCCACAGATGACGCCAGATTGTGCGTGCGAGATCCTGCACAATATAAACACTAGAACAAATCTCTTCCGTGGTGAACACGTGTTCGTCAATCGGGTGGTCGATCTTGCTACTTGAACAGGTTGTGAGGGTCGAAGGTGGCCCAAGGTGGATAATGAATCATTTTTATGAGTCGCCTGAGTGATCCTGGAAGGCTAAAGAAGGTTCCTGAAACAAAGAAAAACAGGTTAGAAAGGTGCTGAAGTGTTTTTCGGCGTATCCCCTTCAACGATCAAGTCAGTTCTTTGAGAGAGGGGAAGAAGAAAACATTGTATAATGGTTGAGAGAGGGTTTGTTGCGTATCCCTTTTCTGTGTTTGTGAGGACTATTTATACCTTAAAAATTCATCATTGCTGTCAGCGTAACTAGTAGGTAATCATTAGAGGTGGGTAGTGTACACACTAATTTCTATGAGTAATGTTCATATTCTTTACTGCTCGAAACCCTGAGCAACTAATGCTTTCTCCTCGGTTCGCCAAACGTTTAATGATCTTCCCTCGGCGGGGTGTATTAAATGCCCAGGCCTTGGGACATTTATTACTTTTCACTTCTGAGCCCTTACGCATTAAATGCTGTCTCATCAAGGGAAGGGTGCATTAAATACTTGTTTTCCCAAGTTGTGTGTCAGCAAGGGCATTCTAGTCTTTTTTGTCTCTGATCTGACACAATACGCCACGTGTCCATTCCCCTTTGGTTAAGCCTTCGGCTTTTTTGTGCCTCCTGACACCATTTGAGTAAGATGAGATCATAATGACCAGTCTAGTCTTGTTTAGGCTAGTGATCTGTCCATCAATAGCCCCTGCAGGAGCAAAAAATTCCACGCAGATAGATACCTCTTGGTGTTGAGGGACTAGCATGATTTAGGACCGATGTACCCAAACTGCCGAGGAATACGTGTCGGTCCATGGTGGTTTGGGGATTCTTGATCCTTGTGAATAGAATCCTCGGGACAGGGGGTTTGGAAAACTGACGAAGACGTGTCGGTATCACAGCGCGTCTCCATTGACGCCAGGTACACGCGTCATCATCGTCATCATCTGGGAGTGCCTGGAAATGTCCCATCAGTATACAAAGGTTTTAATTGCTAATTGATTTGGACTCAAATCGAAAAACCTATTCACCCCCTCTATGTATAGTGTCTTGCATGTATAATCGTGAGAGAGGATCTATATCGGATTCCACATCCCAGAACATCCCAGAACAACACGTGTTAACAAAGGAGAATCGTTTAGGAAAATAAGGCTGCGTGTATTTAGATACTGGTGATGTTGGTTGCTGTCATCTCTAATAAAAAGTTGGCTTATGCTGCTAGCCTGTGTTGACTGCTAAAAATTATGTTCTTATTTTGATGCCCTGATATGCTGTTTTTACGTGTAAATTCCGTTGTTTGCATCCATATCTGTCTTTGATTTATCTTTTTTCGATAAGTCATATTCGTCTCTGTGTAAATTGTATGATACCATATACCTTGCAGTAGCATTGATAACGATGGCCATATTGTCTATTGTGATATTTCTACTCAAAAGTTATTAATTGGCATTTATGATTGTACATTGTGTTTTAATTTTATAATATATGCAATTGGTTTCTAATGATAAGAGATGCTTCAAACATGGCAGGAGCAAAAATCTGCATTACATCTTTGTCCCGTTGTAGCAAAAAGTGGGCAGGTTACTTCATGTGCATATAAGGACAAGTGCCGCTTCAGCCATGACTTAGAAGCCTTTACGTCTCAGGTATAAGAAATCAAAATCCTTAACCAGTTGTTACTTTCCTGGATGTGAATTGCGTTTTTTGCACATTACGCCATTCAGCTCTTACGACAGCATTGATGTTCTTAAATGCAGAAACCTGCTGATTTAGAGGGCAACTGTCCTTTTCTGGGTAATGAAGGACAATGCCCTTATGGATTGGCCTGTAGATTTGCAGGTACACATAAAAATGATGTTCCTGCTGGAACTTTCCATGTTCAGAAGAAAAGCTCTGAAATGAATAGTTTGAACAAAAATGTTCAGAAGATTCTCTGGAAAAACAAAATGAGGTTTCCAAAGGCAGATGCTAAGCTCAAACTTCTTGGGCTTTTGGTATGGGCAGATATTACTTTATTCTCATCTTATAGCTCTGTCTCTCCCCCCCCTCTTTTTCCCAAAACAAAAGCTTCTGAAGAGAATTTTGCTCAGCTGTATTGCGTACACATTTTTCAATCACCTGGATGACCAAAGTAATTGCAATATGAGCACAATGAAAAAATAGAAGGCTGGCAGATATAAAAGCTTTTTGTTGCTATAGTAGACATAAATGGCTGATTTCAGTTTTTGGGTTTCGTGTGGGGTTATTTTGATCAAATATTTTGATGTCAGGGGCATGTGAATTCTAAGGTGAAAAGGTTGGCAGATAATGAGGAAGGTGATCAAACTCTTATGAATGGGTCTCATGCTACTGCTGACAATGGTTGTAGTGAACAAGCTGGTAACCTCATTAATAAAGCAGAGTGCTCTCCAAAGGTGCCAGAGGAAGATGATAATATAGATGGTGCATTTATTGGTGATGATCTTAGACCGCTGAAAAAGGCAAAAACTCCAGATGATGATAGTTGTTTTCCAAGTAAAGTAAATAATGGTCTGTTAAATTTCAGTGGGCTATTTCATTTCAAGCAACTTAAATTGTTGGTTTCCTAAGTCATAAGCTGCTTACCTCAGTATATTATAGCAGGTGCAACTGTCCAAACGGAAGAGCCCAAAAAAGGTTGTGTGCAGAATGCTTCAGCGATTATATCTGACCTTATTCTTACAGATAGTGACAACAGCCTAAAATTACACCCACGTGAAAAGAAGCTTATTGACTTTAGAGAAAGGCTCTATCTTGCACCTCTGACCACAGTTGGAAATCTTCCTTTCCGAAGGGTTTGCAAGGTGTTGGGAGCTGATGTAACATGTGGTGAAATGGCGATGTGCACAAATCTCTTGCAGGTTTGTGAACTGATTTCAAATCTGATCTTCTATTTGATGAATCTCATCATCTCAGTTGGTGGTGAACCTCTGAGAAATTTGATGGTTTAGTAGTACTTATATGTTGTGTTCATATAACATATCCACTGCTTTCTGGGTGGTGTTCCTTGCCAGAACTTACTTGGCTTAAAAAGTAAAGGATGTTAGACAAAGAAAGAAGCGGAAGAGGCAGATTTAGACAACCAACGTCAGCTACGAGTTCACACCCGCGTATAATATTCTACAACTAACAATTCATTTATTTTCAAATCGACCCATTTACTATCTCTTAACATACAATTCTTTCAGAATGCAAGCCCGCAATAGGATAATTTTTCGCAACCCGTATGAATATCTTAGGTATTAAATCTCTCCAGCCTTTCCCCATACACCAGATCACTTGAACTTGATATGCAATCTCAACATGATGGATCAGTGTTATTCATCATGATCCAGACTTCTGAGCATCCAATGGTTAGAGGTTGTATTTTGGGGAAAAGCCACACATAAATCTTGACTATAATTTTACCCACACATAGATCTTGACTATAAGTATAAACCTACATATGATTGGTGCATGCATGTTTTTTATATTATTCTTTCTTATATTCTACGCAAAATCTTTGGACTTGTGATCACAAATCAGTGTCTTCTGACATGTGAATAGGGTCAAGCTTCAGAATGGGCACTGCTGAGACGGCATTCTTCTGAGGACTTGTTTGGCGTTCAGATATGTGGCGCATTTCCAGACACAGTTGCACGAGCTGTTGAACTTATTGATCAAGAATGCACAGTGGACTTCATTGATATTAATATGGGGTGCCCAATTGATGTTGTGGTTAATAAGGGTGCAGGGTCAGCTCTTCTCACAAAACCAATGCGGATGAAAAACATCATACAAGCAGCTTCTGGCACAGTGGACAAACCTGTAACTGTTAAAGTATGCAGCTTTGATGTCTTACAAATGCACATGAAATGATTTGCATGGCTGTCCAGTGACATTTATTAAACTGATATACATGTTTATTATCGCTTTGACCTATGTTTTTGAAATTGTCACACCTGGTAAATTATGTTGATAACAGTCACTATACCATCCAGTCTGTTGTAACTTTGAATTCTCAACATTTTCTATCTGCTTCGGATTTTAACTTTTGAGTTACTATTTTCAAATTGAGATTGCTGAGAAATACTATATTGTGTCTTTTTTTTGCTCCAGGTGCGAACAGGTTATTTTGAGGGGAGAAACCGCATTGATTCTGTAGTAGCAGATATTGGTAATTGGGGAGCCACTGCAGTGACTATACATGGTCGATCACGTCAGCAACGCTACAGCAAGCTTGCTGATTGGGAATACATCTACGAGTGTGCTAGAAAGGCGCCTGATTCGTTGGAAGTCCTTGGAAATGGGGACGTGGCTTCGTATTTAGACTGGAACAAACACAAGTCTGACTGCCCTGAGCTTTCTACATGCATGATTGCTCGAGGAGCATTGATTAAGGTTTGTAGTACAAGAATTAGGCTTCATCTTTCATATCTGAATCAAGTGAGTGTGCTTGTGAATTCTGCTATCATATCCAACGTCATCATCTGTCTTTGCAGCCTTGGATATTTACTGAAATCAAGGAACAGAGGCACTGGGACATCACTTCTGGGGAACGATTAAATATGTTGAAGGATTATGTACGTTTTGGCCTGGAACACTGGGGTTCTGATGGAAAAGGTATGCACTTTTCATTTGATATAGAAGCAGTATACCATTCGCTGACGAACTAGATCTGTGCGACTCAAGTTGTTGAGTGGTATTTTTTGCAGTTTTAGGTGTCACTAGGTTTTTGCTGAAGCTTGCGTGAATCCTTGCTAAAGGACTTTGTGATTATTTATTTATTTTTTTTTTTTGGGGGGGGAGGGGGGCCTTGAACCGTTGACCTCAAGAAAGCAAAGCCTTTACAAGGTAATGAGTACCATTGGACCAAAGTGGCTCATTGGTACTTTGTGATTATTTATTAACTTCCTGATTGTTTTGCGAATGATCGATGGTCAAGTGACTGCTATAGGCTGTATAACATTTCAAATATTACTGTGATGATGCAATATAGTTAAATATTTGAGAATGGAGTAACATTGTAAAGGAGTGTTGGAGCAAAACACAAAATGAAATTAGGACCATGGTTAAGACTGTAGAAGGGTATGCACTTAAAGATTCTGTTGGATTTTGGTTTTCCTCCTGCAAAAATAAGAAATATTCTATTAGTAACAATACCTTGTGTAACAATGCAGTCATTGCCTGTTCAGGAGGTATAGTTGTTATATGTTATTTATTATTAAGAATGTGACTTTTTGGCTATGGTTATGTATAAATCTAGATCATGATCATTGTGGGTATCCTGATATTTGCCTTTTGTGGTTGCAGGAGTGGAGACAACCAGACACTTCTTGTTAGAATGGCTTAGTTACACGTATAGATATGTTCCTGTTGGTCTATTAGATGTTATCCCGCAACGATTGAACTGGCGGCCACCCTCATACTTTGGTCGTGATGACCTTGAGACACTTATGGCCTCTGAGTCTGCAGCAGACTGGGTATGCAGTACCTTTTTTGGTTGATAAAAGCTACTTGCTAAGCAAAGTATTCCTGTTTTGTTTTTGTTATTGTAATTAATTATGTCATATGCCATATTTCTTCTGCAGATCAGAATCTCTGAGATGTTACTTGGCAAGGTTCCTGCTGGATTTACATTTGCACCGAAGCACAAGTCTAATGCTTATGATAGGGCAGAAAATGGTTAATTTTGGCATGTAATTTGGGGTCGTATACTGTAGTGGTTTCTGCTTGCTCTCTCTCGCACGGCATGAGTGTTGATGCTGGGACTACAATTTGGTTAGGGCATGCTGCAAGAATATGCTCCCAGATTATGGCAGGAGGACTTGCAACAAGTGTTATCTGTATTTTAAATTATGTCTTAATGAATTCGTGAAATGTACCGAAAATCGGAAACTGAATAATTTTGTATTTTCATTGATGTTCATTTTTGAGAGAAAATTAAAAGGAAATAATTGATGAGATAAATGTAGCTCTGCAACTAAAGACTGGCCAAATTTTTGGAGTTCCAGAAGCTAGCCTCCTCACCTGTGATAACTTGTCATTTTTGCATTTCAGATTTGTTTTGTGCTTTGGATCTGTCTTTTGTTCAATTTTATAGTTATGCATTAGTGTATTAATTGAGGTTACACTTATGATCACACTCGAATTGATTTCATGCTTAAAACATACCCAAGTTACCCTGTTTTTATGCAAATGATGTGACATATTTAAAACATGTTCATCAATACTCATATGTACTAACCCTTTGTCTAAATCCAAACCAGGAAGTGTGTAGTAAAATCCAATTTATGGAACATAGCTAGGACTATTAGTTATATCATCCGTTTCAATGAACAACATTAGTTCACAGTCATCTATGGAGTCTATTTTGCCTCCATCATAACCGTTGTTTGGTTTCTCAGTAAATCTGTTTAACAACATCTAGACTTTTTAAATTTAGTTGTACCATGAAGCTGAAATCCAAACTTATAAAAATCAGTACATATTGTAATGGGGAAATTTTTTTTTCTTCAGTTGATTCTCTTTCTTCTTCCTAATGAAACGGGCCATCTTTACACTGTTTCACTGGCAACCAAGATGAAGACTAAGCTAATCACATTTGCATTTTGCCCTAACCAGCACTTATCATTGTTGTCGGTGCAATGGAAATGACGTATGCCCCTCATGTGGATGGCACATGGTGATGGAGACGTCAAAAAGCAGACTCTGTCTACGGTTGGAATCAAAATAAATCAAACTAAATATTTCGGGAATTAATTTGATTCAATTTGAAAGTTGAGGACTAGAGTGACATAAAATAAATATTTTAGGAACTTTCAGTACAAATAATCCAAAAAAAATTTTCTAGCCTGTCCCCAGCGTGTAAATATGCGTTTATTTTACTTAAATTCGTGAATTCAAGTAGAATCGAGAACAAATTTCAAGTGCATGAACTGATCTCTTAATCTATAAACCAATTAAATCAAGACTTATACTATAATAAAATTTTGAACCCACACTAGAAGCTTAGATGCGATACATTCAAGTAACTGAAGTCCATCCTAATAACCAACCAACCACATTCTTTATCTTCTAAGAAACTTTTACCATCACCCACTCCACTGTCAATTATCTGGAAAAAGAAGAACTCAACTGGATTTCAAATTACAAAACGCAAAGAGAACAAAATTGTAACATAAACTTTAGCTTTTATGTTCCAAACAACCNAGACTCTGTCTACGGTTGGAATCAAAATAAATCAAACTAAATATTTCAGGAATTAATTTGATTCAATTTGAAAGTTGAGGACTAGAGTGACATAAAATAAATATTTTAGGAACCTTCGGTACAAATAATCCAAAAAAAATTTTCTAGCCTGTCCCCAGCATGTAAATATGCGTTTATTTTACTTAAATTCGTGAATTCAAGTAGAATCGAGAACAAATTTCGAGTGAATGAAGTGATCTCTTAATCTATAAACCAATTAAATCAACACTTATACTATAATAAAATTTTGAACCCACACTAGAAGCTTAAATACGATTCATTCAAGCAACTGAAGTCCATCCTAACAACCAACCAACCACATTCTTTATCTTCTAAGAAACTTTTACCATAGATCTCAATAAAAACAAAATTTTTACAAGACAAAGTAGACCACTGAGCCAATGGATTAAATTTATCACCCACTCCACTGTCAATTATCTGGAAAAAGAAGAACTCAACTGGATTTCAAATTACCAAACGCAAAGAGAACAAAATTGTAACATAAACTTTAGCTTTTATGTTCCAAACAACCGAAGAAAAACACATGCTATTGTACTAAGTGTTAAGACAGCCTCCGTTCTACTCTCTTCATTACAAAATGAAGCCTCTATATTATGAACTGGCGGCATTGTTGGCAGATAATTTAAGCACAAAAATGACAACTACGCTGCAACCTTATCCCCCTCTTCCTGATATTTGTCTCTAGACTCTCTCTCCTCCTCCTTTTTCTGATTTGTAGTTCCTTGAATCCAACCACCATCAATGTNCCTTATCCCCCTCTTCCTGATATTGGCCTCTAGACTCTCTCCTCCTCCTTTTTCTGATTTGTAGTTCCTTGAATCCAACCACCATCAATGTTCTGTACACTTCCATTCAATCCATCATCCAAAAAATCCCCAACCCTTTTCACTTTGCCCCTTGGCTGCACCGGGTACTTCCCCGAAAAGCAAGCATAGCAGAAGTTTGGAGATTCATCACCTAACAGCTTATTCAAGCTATCAAATGACAGAAAAGCAAGGGAATCCGACCTGATAAATTCCCTAATCTCCTCTACACTCATCCTGTTTGATATCAACTCCTCTGGACTAGGAGTGTCCACTCCATAATAACAAGACCCAATAATTGGGGGGCTTGCAATCCTCATATGAACTTCCTTAGCCCCAGCCTCTTTGATCAACCTAACAATTTTTGAAGATGTTGTCCCTCTCACAATTGAGTCATCCACAACCACCACCCTCTTCCCTTCCAATACCGCCCTAACCGGGGCGAGTTTGAGCTTGACTCCAAAGTTCCTAATCTTCTGTGATGGTTCAATAAAGGTCCTCCCAACATAATGTGACCTTATCAACCCTTGCTGGAATGGCACACCTGCCTTGGCAGCATAACCAAGTGCAGCCACCACCCCAGAATCCGGCACGGCTATCACAACATCGCAATCAACAGGTGCCTCAGTGGCTAGAATTTCCCCAAAAGCATGCCTAGACTCATACACAGACCTCCCAAAAACCACTGAATTAGGCAAAGCAAAGTATATATGCTCAAAGATACACGCTTTAGGCTCAGGATGAGGCATTAAACACTGTGATCGAATACCCTCATTGTCCACCACCAAAACCTCACCAGGCAAGACCTCTCTCTCATATGTAGCTTCAATTAGGTCCAATGCACAAGTCTCAGAGGCAAATACAACAGCCCCATTGCTCCTCCTACCCATTACCAATGGCCTAAACCCAAATGGGTCTCTGACAGCAACCAATTTGTCTTCTGTCAAAAACACCATTGAATAAGCTCCTTCAAGTTTCTCACATGCCTCAACAATCCTCAAGAAGAACGGCCTCGCTTTCGAAATCGCTATTAGATGAAGAACCACTTCAGTATCAGATGAAGTATTGAAAATTGACCCATTATCTTCAAGCATAGCACGAAGGGATTGGTAATTCACCAAATTGCCATTGTGGGCAACACCGACGGATCCAAATCGATAACCGGCGACGAAGGGCTGGACATTCTTGAGCATGGAAGACCCAGCAGTGGAGTAACGGACATGCCCAATGGCCATAGTACCGGGAAGTTGAGCGAGTTTTGATTCGTTGAAGACATCGGAAACCAACCCAACTCCGGTGACCGATTGAAGAACGTTGTCATTGACGGCGACGATTCCGGCTCCTTCTTGGCCACGATGTTGAAGCGCGTGAAGGGCTAGGTAGCAGAGACGAGAGGCTTCAGGGTCACCGTAGATGCCCACAACGCCACACTCTTCTCGGGGCTTATCGTCATCATCAAAGATCAAAGAATTTCCATCTGGGTCTGTTTTGTAGGTGGAAATAATTTCAGAGATGGGGTTTTTGGAAGAGGTCTTGAAGGGGTTGTTATAGTGGTGCAAAGCAGAGGATGATTTTGGGAGGGTTATGGGTAAGACAGAAAAGGGTTTGAGAGATGGGGTTTTGAAGAGAGGGTAGGGTTTATCAAGGGGTGGTGAAAGAGATGAGAGATTGGTGGCGATGGCGGTGACCATGGTTGCTGCTGGGTTGTGAGGAACACAGATACTGAGAACAGAAGAGGTTGAATGGACTATGAAAAGCCGAAGTCGTTCGTCTAGGTTTTGGTCTGTTTTCGCCTGTTTGGATTGATGGATTTAGTTGGATAGGACATTAAATTCAACCCAATCCAGTCCAATGGGTTTGCGTTTAGGATTGGAATTTATTTTGTGACAATTGGGCTGAGCCTTTGTTATAACGAGTTTAGTCCGTCGGAGGGAATAAGTCCGTTTTTAATTTTATTAATAAATAGTTAAGTTAATTATTTTTTTAAAATTTCAAAATATCTTTCATTAAATTTTTTTTAAAATTAGTATCCTAATTTAGGAATTATTATCCCTTAATTTACTATAATGAAGATATGTCAATAATTGTTTTTATATAAATTTGAAATTCATATTNAATTATTTTTTTAAAATTTCAAAATATCTTTCATTAATTTTTTTTTTAAATTAGTATCCTAATTTAGGAATTATTATCCCTTACTTTACTATAATGAAGATATGTCAATAATTGTTTTTATATAAATTTGAAATTCATATTTAAAGAACAATTGATATATTTACTATGTTACTGTTTATGTTACTATTTTTGTTGGGTATATTTTTATTTTTGTCGGGTATGTTACTGTTCATGTTACTATCAACGTTATTATTTTTTATGTTTAAATATTATTACTTTTTTTGTGTTTAAATNGTTTTTATTTTTGTCGGGCATGTTACTGTTCATGTTACTATTTTTATTAAACATGTTACTGCTATTATTTTCTCAAATATTAATACTCAACGTTATTATTTTTTATGTTTAAATATTATTACTTTTTTTGTGTTTAAATGCTACTATTTTTTTGTATTTAAATGATACTATTTTTTTGTATTTGAATGCTATTATTTTTTTATGTTTAAATGTTACTATTTTTTTAATGTAAATTTTAATATTAGTAAAACTCTTAAAATTNATTTTTATTTTTGTCGGGTATGTTACTGTTCATGTTACTATCAACGTTATTATTTTTTATGTTTAAATATTATTACTTTTTTTGTGTTTAAATGATACTATTTTTTTGTATTTAAATGGTACTATTTTTTTGTATTTGAATGCTATTATTTTTTTATATTTAAATGTTACTATTTTTTTAATGTAAATTTTAATATTAGTAAAACTCTTAAAATTTAGGAGTTGTTAGTTTTAAAATTTATTTTAATTAAACATAACTATTAACGGTATTTTGGACAATAGAAATTAAATAGACTTAATATTAAACAAGTTTACTTGATAGACTTATCACCGAATAAGTTCACAAAAGAAAACCGACCTCCAAATTTTTGATTTTTTTTCTTCATTCTATCATATGTTTGGATGTCAAAAGCTATGAGTAAAAAAGAAGGGTAATTTGGAGCAGTCCATTCTCGTGAATTCTGAAAATTAATTACTTCTAAATTTTAAAAATTTTATTAATATTAAAATTAATTTTTTTCATATCTAATCTAAATTTTATTAATATTAAAATTATTTTTCTCTCATATCTAATCTTTAGGCATATCCTAAACTTCTAAAGGTAAATGTTCCATTTAAACTTCATTTTGCCCTAAAATTATCTGCTTGGAAATAAATAGGGACATCTCGAGATATTTTGGAGCTTAAAATAGAAACAATAACTGAATTTTTTTTAATACTAATAATAAATATATTTAAATTTTTAATTTTAATTTTTAAAATACAAAAATATTAATTAATTTTTTATTTAAATCCTACTTGGCTCCATTAAAATTGCATAAGCATCTTTAGAGCCTTTTTTTTATATCTTTTCCCGTCCGACACGTTTCTGTAGTATAAATATGCTAAAAGGAAGTCGATTGTTACAACTTCTTAACCCCCGAAAAGGTATTGAGCCTTGAAAACCTACAAAATAATAATTTATANGGGTAATTTGGAGCAGTCCATTCTCGTGAATTCTGAAAATTAATTACTTCTAAATTTTAAAAGTTTTATTAATATTAAAATTAATTTTTTTCATATCTAATCTAAATTTTATTAATATTAAAATTATTTTTCTCTCATATCTGATCTTTAGGCATATCCTAAACTTCTAAAGGTAAATGTTCCATTTAAACTTCATTTTGCCCTAAAATTATCTGCTTGGAAATTAATCGGGACAGCTCGAGATATTTTTGAGCTTAAAATAGAAACAATAACTGAAATTTTTATTTTTAATACTAATAATAAATATATTTAAATTTTCAATTTTAATTTTAATTTTTAAAATACAAAAAAATTAATTAAGTTTTTATTTAAATCCTACTTGGCTCCATTAAAATTGCATAAGCATCTTTAGAGCCTTTTTTTTATATCTTTCCCCCTTCGACACGTTTCTGTAGTATAAATATGCTAAAAGGAAGTCGATTGTTACAACTTCTTAACCCCCGAAAAGGTATTGAGCCTTGAAAACCTACAAAATAATAATTTATAAATTTAGAGAAACCTTAGAATTAATATAAAGATGGGCAATTCTAAGCCAAATTCTATTTTTTAAAAACAAAACGAAAATCAAAAGAATAGGTGTAGAGACTCGAAGAAAATTGTTTTAACAAAAAGTGATGGGCCCGGCCCAAGGCCCAACTCAAGTTGTGGGGACCTAACTTGAATAAAGAACTCGCCTAGACAAGACTCATTGGGTCCAGCCCACAAGAGATGCACGTCTAGCTAGGTTCACCAAAGTTTTGAAAGCCATGTCATCAAAGAGTAAACAACGCTATCTTAAGAGTCTCATCTACGCTACCTTGGAGTAAAGAGTGAGGAAGTCAGTCACGCCATCCTAAGAACTGGTCTTCAGGAGAGCTCCGCAATTGTCTCATTTGTTACAAGGATGATGCCAACTCCATTGAATCAACTCTTTAGTTACTGATAAGACCCTCAATTTGTTAGGAGACACGTATACATTATAAGCTCTGTCTATACATGGGGGCAATTTTCACATTTTGTACCTCACCTATTACTTGCACCTGAGCACCCAACACTCTTTGAAGCAATAAAACATCCAGGTCATTCTAACCCTTCACAGTAGAATATGTTACCTTGATCGAATCACTTAAATTGTGTTTTACTTGTGTTGACTCTCTTTTTATTTATTTACTGCATTAATTGCTTGACAAATGGTGCATAAAATCAATTTGTATATCATCAAATAGAGNCAGCTAGGTTCACCAAAGTTTTGAAAGTCATGTCATCAAAGAGTAAACAACGCCATCTCAAGAGTCTCATCTACGCTACCTTGGAGTAAAGAGTGAGGAAGTCAACCACGCCATCCTAAGAACTAGTCTTCAGGAGAGCTTCACAACTGTCTCATTTGTTACAAGGATGATGCCAACTCCATTGAATCAACTCTTTAGTTACTGATAAGACCCTCAATTTGTTAGGAGACTCGTATACATTGTAAGCTCTGTCCATACATGGGGGCAGCTTTCACATTTTGTACCTCACCTATTACTTGCACCTGAGCACCCAACACTCTTTGAAGCAATAAAACATCCAGGTCATTCTAACCCTTCACAGTGGAATATGTTACTTTGATCGAATCACTTAAATTGTGTTTTACTTGTGTTGGCTCTCTTTTTATTTATTTATTGCATTAATTGCTTGACAAATGGTGCATAAAATCAATTTGTATATCATCAAATAGAGTTGACTGTGTTACATTAGTAGATGAATCCTTCTATTGAAACCTTGCTGAGGGCATCCCCCAAGAGCAGGGGATTTTGAAACATTTCAGATTGGTTGTCTTGTATTTTTAATAACATGTTTAATAATTGGCAGGTTGAATCATATCCATAGTGTGATGAGTTGGTTTAGATTGATCCTAACCAGATGATAAAGCATTACTTCTAGTTAATTTATTAAGAGCAATCTTATTGGGATCTAATTTATTGATCTAATTTGTTGACCTAATTCACAATGCCTGATGGGTCAAGCCCAAAGGCCCAACCCACGTCGTAAGCCTTGATTAAATTAAGAGCCCAACTTATAAAGATTCAATATCCAACTCAAAAGAGTCCACGCTTGGTCAAGCTTGCTAAGGGAGTAAGCAGGGTCGTCCAAGAGCCTCATCCACACTGCCTTAGAAAGAGTCAACTCTCATGTCATTCTTTGACTGNTTGATGGGTCAAGCCCAAAGGCCCAACCCACGTCGTAAGCATAGATTAAATTAAGAGCCCAATTTATAAAGATTCAATATCCAACTCAAAAGAGTCCACGCTTGGTCAAGCTTGCTAAGGGAGTAAGCAGGGTCGTCCAAGAGCCTCATCCACACTGCCTTAGAAAGAGTCAACTCTCATGTCATTCTTTGACTGAATCTTATGGAGAGCACTATAACTGCCTCGCCCGTTGATAAGAAGGCGTCAACTTTACCAAATTTGCCACATAGTTACTAATAACTCACCCTAATCTGTTATGAGGCGACTGTAAATTGTAAGCCCCGCCAACACTTAGGGGACATTACATTCAGTNAGCGTTAACTTTACCAAATTAGCCACATAGTTACTAATAACTCACCCTAATCTGTTATGAGGTGATTGTAAATTGTAAGTCCCGCAAACACTTAGGGGACATTACATTCAGTCGAGCACAACTTTCTCATCTCTCTCAACTTGTATCTCCTTGCTCTCTCTACGCACTTGGAGTAATAAAATATCCCGCGCGACCCTAGCCATTCACAGTGGACGTAGGCCACGTTAGCAGAACCACTATAAATCCTTGACTTGCTTATGTGAGTGTGTGTGTCTCTCTCACTTCTTAATACTGCATTTATTACTGTTCATCTGACTGGTGGTATATAAACCCAATTTGTGCATAATCAGTTTGGCGCTGTTTGTGAAAATCGAAAAAATTCTCACCTAATTAGTTTTTCTTGTTGTACCCATTTCAATCACCACCAGATCCATGAATCAGTTCGAAGGCAATCCACCATAAGAGGAGGAGGTTGCCCCTCCACCAATCAATTATGTTCTGAATGTACAGCAGATGTTGGAAACAATGCAGCAGTTCGTGACGTAGAATCAGCAG